TGCCTGATAATGGTTATCAAATCATTTCTTTTAATTACATTCAAAAATTTTCTTCATATCTTTGAAGGTATCGAGTGAATTTTTGATCAAATATCTTTTTCCGTTAAATTATTTCTTCGTATGAAAAAAATCAGTATTGAATGAAATTTTCATTTTCAATTGGTTAATTCTTTGCTCAAATAAACTAGAAGATTTGATAAAAGTTGATTTATTCTAACGTTTTAATTAAAAATGGGAAATAAAATTGGGAAGAAAAGATAAAGCTAAGTTTTATTGTAAAAAATAGGAAAATTTGTATGACCATAAAATGAAAGATTTTTTAAATCGTTTAGTCATTATTTAATTAAAAGATTTTTTAGCAATTGTCGACATTTTAAATAATTTCTTTTACTGACGCAATTTGTTGTTTACAATAAGCGGCAAGATGATTTGATGAAAGACAAATCAATTCCTTCAGTTTAATTACTTTAAGTGAAACAAAAACATAAACATGGAAATAAGTAACGACGAATTTTCTTATCAATTTATCGAATTTTGTAGAAACAAAAAGAAAATTTTGTCGTAACAGAATGGCATATTACTCGGAACAAATTTACATTTTTTTTATTATTTATTAAGAAAGAAGAGTGAGAGAGAGGGAAGGAGAGAGAGAGAGAGAATGAAACGTCCGTAGAGGAATAAAAATTTTAGCGTAGTGACATATTAAAATTGAAGCTTAAACTATGAAAGACTTCAGTTTAAATAGATTTCTACTTTATCATGAAAATTAGAGAAAACGTTTGAATCTAAAAGTAGCAAACACATTACTTTCAGATTTAAAATATTTTCAAAGTTGAAATATATGAACGTTGGTTGCTATTTTTAAAATTTTTTAAAATTACAGAAAACTATTTCTTTTTAAAAAAATTTTATCGAATGCTTTTTTTAGACAGGCAATGTACAAAAAAAATTCACGAATTCTTCGAAGATTGAGCAGGTAATTTGTTACAAAAGTTAGCAATTTTTGCATTTCTTCATTGTGTGAAGGTGAATGAAGAAGTTCAAAGAGATTATTTCGTGTTTAAAGGTTACCTTAAAATTGAGCTTTTTGCAAGTTTTTTCTTTGAGAAATTTATTATAAAATGCCTATCATTTTGCTTAAATTCAGATTATATGATTGGCAAATGGATGAGTATGGCGGCTTACGTCCAGTAATTGAATCAATGAGCAGAAATAATGAACAATTACAGTATCCTCATTATCACAAATCACCATCCTCAGCCAGTGATAAGATAAAACGCCAGCAAAATTGCGCCAATGATTCATTCATTTTGGAAACTATTCTCAAGAAATATAATCGCCATAAAATTCCAGGAGATTCAGTGATTGTTCAGGTGGAAGTTTGGGTACAAGAGATTACAACGATTAGCGACATCACTTCTGATTTTCAAGTAAACTTTTTTTTTCTTATTTGCAATGCAAAATAAATATAAGCTAAAATGAAGAATTAGTGCTATTCCGGTGTTTCAATTTAAGGCTTCTAAAAATCTAAGAAAAGAGGACAGTAATGAAATAGCATAGAAGTAATCTGTTAAAATGATAAAATGACCTAAGAATGATGAATGACCTATTAATAGTCTGTCAAAATGATCAAGTAAGCGTAATTACGATCTGAATTTTCATTTGGTTTTATTTTGTTTTTTTCTAATTCATCTATTTGCTGGATTGAATTTGCCATAAAGAAATATTAAAAGTTATTTACAGTTGGATATTTACATCAGTGAGATGTGGCTTGATCCGGCGTTGGATTATTCTTGGATGCAACCGTGCAAATATAATTTATCGCTGAACAGTGTTTTGTTGGAGAAACTTTGGACACCTAATTCATGTTTTATCAATTCAAAAACTGCCGATATACATCGAAGTCCATTTCCGAATATTTTTTTAATGATTTATTCTAATGGATCAGTGTGGACCAATTACAGGCTCAAATTACAAGGTATATGTTTGTTTTTTCCTTCATTTTATTTGGTTTTTTTATAAGTTTAAAATGATCAGGAGTGTCTTCACACGAATAAATTTCATATGGTATTTATTTATTTGTTTATTTGTGTACTTGCTTACTTTTTATTTGTTTACTTGTTTGTTTATTTATTTGTTTACTCGTCTCTTTTTAACTTATTTGTCTACTTATTTATTTGTCTACTTATTTATTTGTTTACTTGTTTATTTGTTCACTTGTTTATTTGTTCACTTGTTTATTTATTTACTTGTTTATTTATTTACTTGTTTATTTATTTACTTGTTTATTTATTTACTTGTTTATTT